TAGTAATGAGTGTTTTGTAAGTACTTGCTGACATAAAAATTGTGGCTTGACTCAAGCTCATCTTGGTTTTTATCTGTATTTGTCTGTACCTCACTTGCATGTTAACATTGCATGTAGCATGATAGATCCTAACCTAATTTGAATGGAGCACTCAGGTATAGGAGGCGAATGGATTGACTGAAGAAGTGACACACAGAATGAAAATGCTGACTTGACAAACTAGTCTACCTTGCGTGTTTACTTGGGTCTGAGCTTATAAAAAAAAGTCTAGAATGTACTTGTTTCTAGTTTTAAGGAGGGGAGACTGTTGTAATTCCAATAGGTCGCTATTGCGCACAGCTTAGTGCTGACTGCAAAGAATTGTTTGGATAGATCTTTGTTTTCACTATAGTGCTGTCCCACACCTTATTTCTCACAGAAGGCATTCTCTTTTCTTAGCTGTTTCTAGCCCAAACCTTGTTTCTGAAGCATTGCAAAGGAAATTGTTACAAGACTTGAATTTTGTTCTCTTCTCTGCAGTTTGCTGCTCTTGGTCTTGCTGAATATAACACTGTTTCTCAAATTGTCAAAGATAGAGCATGCAGCTCAGTCCCTCTATCATGTCCAGCTTCAGGAAGAAAGCTCTTTGAAGTAAGTTGGATTCATAACCTTTGTTTTCTTTCTTCTTCCTCAGCCTTTGTCAGAATCTGATTTAAAGACAAATTTTTAACAATTATACTTGGTGGTAAGTTTTCAAAAGCTGCTGGGGCTTGCTGCTCTTCTGTGGCTGGTGCTGTGTCTCACTGCGTTTTGCAGAAATAGATTTCTTCTTCGACAAGCTGGGTTTTGGGGTGTGTTAACCTTAGCTTGCATTTATCACCCTGCTGTGACTCATCTTCTGTGAATATCATAGTGCTCGTCACAGAACCAAAGTGTTCACTTCATCCTGTGTTGAACCAGCATGATCTGAAAAGTAACGTTAACGATTCATTTAGCTTTTTAGCTTCTTTCTGTGAGTCTCCTCCTAAATCCCCTCTCCATCAAACTTCCATGTTAGGTGCCTTTTGTAATTGGACACATGAAAGAGGCTCAGACATTGCTTCCTCTCTTGAATGTGGTGTCAGCAAACAAGTTAAAAACCATAAGCTGATCTTGAGTATGGAAGCTGCGTGGTGATGTCCCATAGTGATCATCTTAGAACTGATGAGGGCTAACTTCCTTCATAAGAAAGATCTTGTCCTCTGGAGAGTTAGAACATGCATTGTAGACATAATGTGAGCACGTTCGTTCTTAGTGGCTGGTTGTCTACAGAGGTCTGAGGCAGCATTTTCAAGGCAACAGGGATTGAAATTAAACTGCAGGCAACTTTTTATGTGGCTTTTAGAAGAGGATGCTTCTAGGAATGGCAGGGCAATGGTGGCAGAGTGCAGTTGCTTTTAGAAAGGCATGGAGATGCTTGTTTCACATTTCTAATGCAATCTCAATCTCTTTCAGTATATCCCCAGAAATGGTATCGAAAGAGGAGATGCCTCAGTATGATAAGGAACAGGTTAAGCATGTGAAGGGAGTTTTAAGAGACTCGATTGAAATGCTTGAGCAGGTAGGTCTGCCACTCTTTC